ATGAAGCTGCAAGGCGACAGCACACTTTCCTATCAGCTCCCTAGGGAAAGCAGAGGGCCATGTCTCATTTCTAGGAGACAGGGGCAGATAGAGGGCCTGTGACCTAGCAGAACAAGCTGGGTCTCTCTCTCTGCCTTGGCAAGCTAAAAGGGAATTACATCGCCATCTTCAAAGCAGCCCTCCTCCATGGGCATGGACTTTTGGAAGGGAGACTCTTCCATAATTCCTTTGAATTTTCTACTTTGTCATTTTAAAGTAAAACAAGAGCCAGACGTGGTAACTGCAATCTCGTACTCAGGGAAGCAGACAAGAGAGACAAGACCAAGATGTGTCTGGCTATAAAGCAAGTTGAAGGACAGCCTAGGTTTCAAAACCTAGCAAGACCCAGTTTCAAAAGGAAAGGGAAAAGCAAGGCTTAGGGTATAGCTCAGCGGTAGAGCACCTCCTTCGGTTCTCTGCCCCAAGAGGGAGAGATGAAAGGAGGGAAGGTGGGAGGGGAATGGGAGGGGAATGGGAGGGGAGAGGAGGGGAGAGGAGAGGAGGCAGGTATAACAAGGGAAGTCAGTGGCTAGTCTAGCAATATTAACGCTTATGTCATACCCAAAGACTGGCAATGCTACCATCCTGACCTGAAACTACCAGTGGGGAAGCACCCTTTTTTATGAGCATTTCCCCTCATTTTCTGTATTTTTTTTTTATTCAGCATATCAACAGGCTGTGAATTACTTTTGCAACTTTGCAAAGTCAGAAGAGGTGTAAAAGAGATACGAACGAACACCACCTGAGTTTCAGGACTGTCCTCTCAGAGCAGCTTTCCACTCCTCCCGTTCTCTGCCACTGCCTCATAGAACTTAAGACCTGGAGAGGTCGGCATGCCTGAACTCACAAAGCTTGGGGACACCTGCTGGGTGAGCTCATGTGTAGACTTGTCATTACAGGAGTCACTATGACCACCATGCCAAGGCCCCGGCTTTCCTGGTCTCCATGTGTGCAATGTTCCTCTGTTGCTCTTCCAGCAGACTAGAGTTAGGGACACAAATGGAAGGAAGGACGTTGTTTTCTTGGGTTCAGACATCCAATGCCTACTGCACTTACGGTCTAGCGCTAGGCCCCAAATTCAAGTATAAGGGAAGCCTTATGGATCCCTGCAGCATCCAGCCCTGCGCTAAGGGGCTCACTGTATAAAGACAAAGCAGTTGGCTTCAGGTGACATGAAACGTCAGACAAACTCAGAGGAAATCAGACACATGGAGTACAGGACACCGCTGCCAGTTCCTGAGGATGCATGGCCTGAATAAAGACAAAGAACCTGTATCGACAACTGTCTTCAAAACAAAATCACTTCTTCATTTCAAGCTAAAGAAACAAGCCAAGGAAAGAGAGAGCCACTGGCCATCGGGGGCCGACGTGAGGAAAAGCAACACAGCCAGGCACACCATAGCAAGAGCCAGGGGGAAAAGCTACTGCACTGCAGATTCTGACCCAGAGCCTTTATTCCAGTAGAAAAGCAAGGCTAACTCTGAACCTAAAAGGACAAGAGGGGCATAATGTTTAAATGCAATTGTCACCCCTGGCATCTCACACGCCAGCAGAGAGTTGTATGCACCAGTTTAGCAGAAGAGCCTGCAATATAAGCAAGAGCTTGGATCCAAAGTGTCAGTGGGAATTGGTGTGCACATTTCACGTGGATAATTGGCTAAATGAAGAAACTCAATACTGCAAATGCCTTGGCCCAACCATGAACTGCATACAGGTACATAAAGCCAAATATTGACAAGTCAAATTGAAAACTTAAAACCCATTAAAATACCAGGTCTGTGTGGCTGACATAGAACAGACTAAATAAATCTGAGCACAACGAAGCTGTTTGGAGATTATCTTTGATACAGAAGTGCTCGAGTGGCTGGAAATTCTTTCTTTATGTCACGGTGAGCCAACTCCTGACCTTTCACTTCCCATCTCCCCACTGTGAGCCGCCAAGGACTGAGTTACAGCTCTATCTCCCTGAGCCACCAGCACCTACCACCTCTAAGGCTGGCAGAGGCTAAGGCTGGCAGAGGCAGTATAAGACACCCATCCCCCAAAATTCACATTTCTATTTCCTGTTTACATCTGCCTGTTAAATAGATATTTCTTCTGAATAGAAAGTCCCTTCCCAGAAGAAAGGAGAAAGCCCTAAGACTGGGAAAGTAAAAGCAACTTGCAAGGCTCAGAGAGATCCTGAAAGTTACAGACCTCACAAGATTCCTCTATAAAAACAGCAAGCAATTGCTCAGGAGGAGGAACTCTTGAGCCAACCAAGCTGACTGGAAGTTGGTCAAGGACTTCTAGGAATAACAGCCTTCATGAGATGTCACCCATACGAGGGTGAGCTTCCTGGTGATACAGCTGCCTTTGAATCACCCATGCTAAACTTGGGAGTCCACTAAGCTAGACACAGGTAGAATCAGTTCTTTGGTCTGCCATCTGTGCCCTACCCGCAGCAAATAGACATCTGTTCACATCCCCTCAGCAAACGTTGCACAACACAAAAAAACACCACCCAAGGCCTTCCCTAACTCAAGGGACCAACACGGTTTAAAACTGTCTCCCTGGGAAGGACCTTCCTCGGGACATGCTGAATGCGTAGTATATAACGAGCAACCCTTACACGCTGTCCAAAAAACCCTATTTCCGGTCAGGGTAGAAGCTGAGCTAGGAGGACTAATGTGAGTTTGCAGCTCTAGACTGATAATTTGCCTCGAAGAAAAGCGATTTGACTCACGGACCAGCAAGCGAAATGAAGAGCAGAAAGAGCCCCATGTGAGACCAACAATCCCGGCTGTTCGCCTGCTACCTTAACACCTACAGTGTGACTCCAAGCGAGTCCCTTCATCCTAGGCCTCACTGAAACAGTGGGCACACCTGCCACCTGGACAGGGGAGAGTTAAGTTGCAGGGACGTACACCAGACATTTAGCTCAGCATCTCAGATGCTGTAAGGGCTCCATATATGACTTTCTGAACTATCCATGACTCAGAAGAAGAATCGGTTTAGTTCTTGTAAAACAGAAACCAGATATGTTGGAAGTGTCTACGGAGGTGACCTGCCAGCTGTTCAGCCGACACTACTGCATAGGTACCTGAAGTGTGATTTCAGGGTTCATTCATCATGTGGACTCATGACTTCCCTTTAACCCCCTCTGACACACACCTTCCTCCTGCCATGCCCCTCAGGCCCTCACTCTACCTGCTCTGCGCCTGAGCCGTGTTTATGGCTTGGAATGTGGCCTCTGACAGTCCACTTGCAGGTGTCTCATAAGGCCAGCTGATGCTGCCTGCTCTTCCAAATGAAAAAATTCCAGCTGTTTTAAGAGATACTGACAGCATGCCCACTGCACAGTGGCCCTGGAGGGTTTCAAGGAATAAATCCAAGCAGCACAATATTGAAGGAAGAATCCAGAAGCTAAGACCACAACCTACAACAGTTGTAATGAAGATGAAGTACAAGTTTCAGACATAAAAGACAAGACAAAGTCCTGCCAGGCCTTCAGCAAATTCACACACACACACACACACACACACACACATATGTGTGTGTGTGGGGGGGGTGTCCATTAAGTTGCACTCACTGACAAATCACCGTACCTCAATCAACTTCAAAGCAATAGGTATTATTTCTCCAAATACGGTCTACAGGCCAGCAGCATCAGCGTCACCTGCAACATGTCAGCTCAGCTGACTCTTAGACCTCACCCAGCAGAATCTACAGCTTATTTTAATTGTTAAAACATACTAATTGAGCTCAGCAGTGGTGGGCACACACCTTTAATCCCAACACTTAATAGGTAGAGGTAAGTGGATCTCTGTGAATTCGAGGCCAGCCTGGTCTACAGGGTGAGTTTCAGGACAGTCAGGGATACACAGAGAAACCCCACCTTGAAAGACAAAATAAAACAAAAACCATATTAACTGAACACTAATGGAATGCACTGTGCTAGTTCAATGCATGACTAGGTCCTGAGAATTGCACTTTCAACAAGGTACCTTAGCAACTCAGCCTAAGGGCGCTTAGGAGGCCACAGCCCACTCAGACAGAACTGTGATAGCTCACTGGGGTTTTCACGGGATCTCTTCCTTCGTGCTGCACGGAGTTCCATGGCAGCAAGTTGACTCTGAATGACTAGTGTGTGCTTGATACGTAAGTGTCAAATGAATGGGCAGTCTACTAACTGACTGACCAAAGAAGCCATCTACATTGTGACAAATACAGAGAACAATTCTTTAAGGATGGAAAGAGAAGGAGACAGACAGACAAAGTATGCACACCTGGGTGGAGAAAGATGTGGCAGTGGGACAGAACAGGCTGAATAAGTAGATATGCACATGCCCCGTGGAAAAGACTGCCAGGGGGGCCGTGGTACCTGCAGTTGCCGTCATGTGCATTGGCCGCATACAGGCCAGAAGCAATAGCCAGTCTGGCTGGAGTGTGGTGAAAGGAAAGGGAGGAGACAGGACGATAAAGATGATATGTATAGCTCTGGTGGTGGCTGTTGGTGAGGACAGAAAGGCCACATGTAGATTTCCAGCTGCCATCTCTAAGGCTTTTGAAACTGGGCATGAAAGAGCCTGGCTCTAACAGGCATATCCAACCTTTTGACACTGCAACACAATGTTATTATCTACAAAGTTCAAGTTGGAGTACCATGAAATTGAGTTATCAAAAAATATATAGATAGATATAGATAGTCATATACATACATATATTGATGAATGGGTGGTTAGGTAGATGGGTAAAAAGTAGGTAGACACAGATATCACCAAAAATGCCATGATGTTTTAAGTAATTTCATAATTTATATTGGGTCAAATTCATGCTTATTATAGGGCATATGCAACCAATGGATGAAGGACAATTGTGCCTGCATGGAATGAGTCCATCAACCAGGCCTGGCTGAACTCTTTTAACTGCTGCTCACAATCTCTTTAGGCTCATGAAATAGCAACATGGCCATTACTCACGGTCTTCAACAAGATGATCCAGGAATTTAGGGACATCCAAGCACCAGAGGAGCCTCGATTCCAGTCCAGATGTTACCCTGCAGCAGCACACTGATAAAGGAAACACAAATGTCAGTTCAGAGACCTCAATAAGATATGTATTAGTTGGCCAGGTGTGGCAGTGCGTGCCTTTAATCCCAGTACCTGAGAGATAGCGCAGGCAGAACTCGGAGTTAGAGGCCAGCCTGGTCTATAGAGCTAGTTTCCGGATAGCCAGGGCTACACAGAGAAACCCTACCACCAAAAAAAGTTACTTACTCACTTACTCATTTCTTTGGCAAAATACTTGATAAAAAGAACTTAAGGAAGAAAAGACTTATTCTTATTCTGGCTCATTTTTCAAGAGTATAGTCCATCAGGTACACCAGGTAAGGACAGCATGGCAACAAGAACACGAAGCTGAAAGTCACATCATTTGATCAGAAAGCCAAGAGAAGAATGCTGGTGCTCGCTCATTTTTTTACTCAGTGCAGGGTCCCAACCCATAGAATGGTGTCATCTACATTTACTGGTCTCTTCACCTCAGTTAACCCAATCTAGAAACCCTCTCAGAGACATGCCCAGAGGTTTGTTTCCATGGTGATGCTGAAGCCCATCAAACTGGCAATCAAGATGAACTATCACAGCAGGGGACCAACATTCTCACCACAGTGAACACTCCTGATTGGATTTCAGATGACGAAGAAGGAGGAGTGGAATTCCTGATCTCCAGGCTGAGTGCAGCCTCAGAGCTGACAAACTCCCCATCTTCAGACAGAGAAAGAGACTCCATAACCCTGCTGCAGATCAAGCAGAGCCTCTCAGAGCCCAGACTGGGGATGCAGGGGCGCTTGGAAACCAATGGCTGGAGGTGTTGTGTTCAGAGATGACGCCAAGGCAAAGAACACAGGCAGGCCTTGCCCCAAATCAGCAGCCCAGGATCACGACCAACAACAGGCAGTTACCCTCCTAGTAAAACTCTGTGTCTAAATAAATGTGATTCTTGTTCTGTCTAGCTCTAGACAAGGGAGGAGACAAAGTAGCCTACAGTTCCAAATCATAACCATTTGCCTAATTCATTTATATTCTCTCCCTCCCTCTCTCCTTCCCTTCCCTTTTCCTCCCTCCTCCCTTTTCCTGTCTCTCTCCTTCTTCCCCCTCCCTCCCTCTCCATCCTTCTCCCCCTTCTGCCTCTCTAATCCAAAAAGACCTAAATCAGTCAAGCCAAGGTTTCCGGTTTCCCTCAAAAAAAAAAAAAATCAGGGTTCAAAAAGCAGCAAAACCATTTGTGTGTGTCCATAAGATTACCTAAAACCTTCAGCAAGAAATCTAAAGATGTAAAAAACAAATCCAAATCTTTGAGAGGTAAAGACCATAGACCAAGAGAGAACATTCCATCTCTGTACTTCAAGTCGGCAGACCTGGGAGGACCTGAATCTGAGATGCTCTCCACAGGCTAATATTTCATTCCTGGTCCCCCGGCTGCTGGCTGTTACTCTAAGAAGCTGTAGGACCTGAAGGAGGTGGAGGGTAGCTAAACCAGGTTAACAGCCACATGCCTTTGAAGGGTAGAACTGGCCCCTAGTTCTGATCCATCACCAACTGGGGAAATTCTGACATGTACTTCTGCCACCTTTAACTCCACCATGTGTCCCTCGCCAGGATAGGACGAACCCTCTAAAGCGGTGAGCTAACTGTAAGCTTTCCTCCCCGGAAGAAAGCTGTGTGTGTTGGGGATTATAACCAATTGATATGAGAGCCAAGGGACCAGAACACATCCCAAGAAATGCTTGGGAACCATAGAATAGATGACATTCAAGGGACCAGAATCCACCCCAGGAAATGCTTGAGGACCATTGGAATTAGGACATCTTAAAGCACAGCAAACATACTCCTGTCCCGTTTTATTCTGATGAACTGAAATAGACAATCAAAATACTCATTCTGTAGGAAATGAGGCTTCTGATTATGGTCTGGGTTCTTAAATTAAATCTTCACCCAATTATACATTGAAACATAATCCTCCAAACAGTTGCCCCTCCCCCTGGGTTTTCGCTGCAGCTGGTCCTGACTACTAACCACTGCAACCCAGCAGCTTATGCCCAACCAGTGGATGCCATAATAGCTCCCCTGTGCAACGGAGAGTAAGGTAAGCAGATGAGGTAAGGCCAAGGCACTCACTGTGACAAACTGGCAACCCTCTTCACTCTGGGACCACGGAGCCGAATAAACTTCACAGGGAGTTGGCTTCTACAAGGTAGAATGACTTGCCTGCTTGAGGAAGGGGCTGTCAGTCTTTAGCAATCTGAGCTGCTGTGTCTCTTTGGCGATCATTATTACGTTGGTGTAACACAGTTATATTATGTTAGTGATAGTCTGTCTGTAGAGTCAGTGCAAGCCTTCCTCAACCCCCATCCCACATACACTAAATGGGGATTTGGATCTGTTTCCCCAAAGATCCATTACTTTTTTTATAAGACAAAGTTAAGGTTTCTTTTGCACAAAGCAGAATTCAGACAGTGAGGTCATTTGTTTGGAAACTACAGCAACCATTCCAATATTTTTTTTTTCCTTCTGTGTTCACATTCTAGTTACTCTGGATCATGAGAGGGAGACAGAAATTTCAGAGAAAAATGCAAAGGCTTCCTGGGCCACCACATGGCCAAGGCCTCCACACCAGGAGACACAGGCACATAGCTAACTGATCACTTCCCATCCAATAGTTAGACACTTGTCAACCCAAGAAACCAGTGAAGACACAGACAAAGCAAATCAAAGAATAGAAACAGTCAACAGTCCCTAGGTCCATCTAAACAAACATATAAAACCCTCTCACAATGTCCACCACAATGTTCCTTAGTCTTAAAGGAGAAAACAGACCGGGAGTAAGGAGCATTGCAAACTCCTCTGAAAATCCAATGGCCCTTTAATGCCTGAATGGAGAACAGTCAATTGTTCCTCAGTGTAAAGATCCTACATTACCATATCCCAGAAGCCCTCTCTTTTAGTTCTCTCAATTACCCCCAAGTCCTCTGCAAGCAGAGTCCTAAAATGGCGACCTGTTCTGTGAAGTAAGCGCATCAGCAGGGAATGCTGGCTTATTGCAGCAGGTGCGGTGGACGGTGTGGCTGTCCCGGCAGCCAGGACTGCTCAGGACTGCTGGAGCTCTCATCTAAGAGCCTCGGCATGGGTCTTCTCTTACAAAGCTAGGGTAGGGCTTAGTACTCAACTTTTCAAGATTTATGGTAATAATAATAGATAAAAGCACATAAAAAATATGTATGGTTTTCATAAGAGACAGAAAGGGAACGGATGTAGATGGGAGGGACGGTGGGGAGGAACTGGGAGGAGTAGAGGGAGAGAAACCATAATGTGAGAAAAAAGTTCATTTTCAATAAAACTTAAAAAATAAAAATAAGAGCTGGGCAGTGGTGGCGCATGCCTTTAAACGCAGAACTTGGGAGGCAGAGGCAGGCAGATCTCTGAGTTTGAGGCCAATCTGGTCTACAGGAGCTAGTTCCAGGACAGCTAGAACTGTAATATAGAAATGCCCTATCTTGAAAAACCAAAATAAAATAAATAAGAATAAGCAAACAAATAAATAAAAGAATATGCATAATAATCATTTTGTTATTATATAAAAACTAAGAATTTAGCTACTAAATATTTTTGTGGACATGCCATATTTTAGTGAATTTTCAATGCAATTTTGTTTCCTTTTTGAAAGGATTTTTATTCTTTTTAATTATATGCATATAGAAGAAATATATGCAAATTTATGCAGGTGTCCACCCACAGAGGCCCAATCCCCCTGGAGCTGGAGTTGAGGTACCTCTGAGCTGCTCAACGTGGGTGCTAGGAAACAAACCCAAGCAGTGTATGCTCTAACTGCTGAGCCATCTCTCCAGTACTTTGTTTTCTTGTTTTCAAGATTTATTTACTTTTAATGTACGTGAATGCCTACTTGTCTATATGTGTATCACATCTGCAGATGCCCCTGGACGCCAGTAGAGGGTGTCAGACCCCTGAGAAACTGGAGTTACAGGAAGATGTGAACCACCAGATATGGGTGCTGGGAACTGAACTTGGGTCCTCTGGAAGATCAGAACCATCTCTCCAGTCCTATAAATTTGTTTTCTTAAGATTCTAGTCTCAGATCATATTTCATTCAAAAACCAAGAATGTTTTCCCAACAATAATCTAGATGGGTATTCTAATTTTTTTATATTACTATGTCTTCACATCTAAGCACAAATATCTGAACCCACTGAGAATAAATAATCAATATTTTCATTTTTAAGACACAGAGATTCTGGTCACCTCTTAGGAGAAAGGAAGGCATGGATTCCATGGGTATTCGTTTTACTCCTTATGAATGTCCCCTCCCAGCTATGCTGGGCTTGAACTCCTAAATTCCAGTGATCTTCCTCAGCCTCCCTGTTAAATGTGACTACAGGCAACCCCAAAAGGGGCCTTGAAAATCTAGATGTTTTAAGAATCACGATAAAACATTAAAAAATCAAACAAACAAATGAAAATCACAAAACAGATTCAAGCCAGTAACAGGAATCTCCTGGGATTATTCTGAGAATTATTCTCAGCCTACCTTAAGATGCCAGAAAAAAGTGAAGTGAGCCCAGAGTTTGTCAAGGGTGGGGTTTGACAAGCCAGGCAGAGGCTCTAGAGACATCTCCTATAAATACAACTTCGCTTTGGAAAAGTCTACACGCTGGCACAGTCCTGCATTCCGAGCTCACACCATGCTGGGCCAGCACTGGGTATCTGTTCACCCAAGGGTCTTCTCTGACACATTCTGCAAGTCCATTTCCTGCAGCATATGTGTTAGTTACCAGGAACAATGTTCTTATGCTGTCCTTAGCAGCGAAGGGATGAGAGAAGAGCCAGGCATTCTGCAGATCTGGGAGGACCCTGCTTCCTTCTGTGGAGATGCTAACCCCAGGTTCCTTCACACACTTTTCATGACCTCATCCTCTCTTTGCCTTTCCTATGAAAACTCTGCTCACTGGCCGGATCAAGTCAAGTCATCCATCGGCCATAAGATGGATAAAAGG